ATGAACTTCATATATTTCATTGTATCTGATTTATCACTTTCACGGGTTTATTACGAATCAACTTAACGGCCTGCTCCCAGTTGGCTTGTTAGCTCAATTGGTAGAGCGCTGCACTAGTATCGCAGAGGTCAGTGGTTCGAATCCCGTACAGGCCTGATTTTTTTCAGGTCTGATTTTCGCTATTGCTTAAATAGCGCTATCTACTGCGAGGATCGTGCATCATACGTATCTAATACCGCAGTTCAAAATATATGAACTTCATATATTTCATTGTATCTGATTTATCACTTTCACGGGTTTATTACGAATCAACTTAACGGCCTGCTCCCAGTTGGCTTGTTAGCTCAATTGGTAGAGCGCTGCACTAGTATCGCAGAGGTCAGTGGTTCGAATCCCGTACAGGCCTGATTTTTTTCAGGTCTGATTTTCGCTATTGCTTAAATAGCGCTATCTACTGCGAGGATCGTGCATCATACGTATCTAATACCGCAGTTCAAAATATATGAACTTCATATATTTCATTGTATCTGATTTATCACTTTCACGGGTTTATTACGAATCAACTTAACAGCCTGCTCCCAGTTGGCTTGTTAGCTCAATTGGTAGAGCGCTGCACTAGTATCGCAAAGGTCAGTGGTTCGAATCCCGTACAGGCCTGATTTTTTTCAGGTCTGATTTTCGCTATTGCTTAAATAGCGCTATCTACTGCGAGGATCGTGCATCATACGTAATAGTCCTTTTGTTCTTTGTAGCGCTGAGGGACTTTGGCCGAAGCGACGCGAAAAAGTTCGTGACTAATCGGAAAAATATTTTTGGCATGACAATTTAGCTATTTTGGAAGAGTAGGTAGCGCATATTTGCACACGACATGTAAATAGTCACCGGAGTACCCCAAGGGAAAATTTAACGCTGATTTAGCCGCTTCGGGGGAGTGGGTAGCGTAAATTTGTCTCGTCGAGTCAACTCTCAATGGTCTAGCCCAGGAGAAAATTGACCGCTAATGTGGCAATGCACACATCGAGAATTCAAAATACGTTATTTGTCTCTTTCAGACCACTTCTCTCCGTATAAGTCTTTCTCCAGACGCTGTCATAGTTCTTAACTAAAGTCGTCATAGTTCTAAACTAAAGTCTAGTCTTTCCGAACGTTTAAATTTCCCGCTCGTATGCTAATCGGAAACTTCGACAAATCCCTCGCGTGTTCTGAAACTGTTGCGCCATTGTTCAAAAATGGCCATATAGGGTCATTTTTCGCTTGGCTAACAAAGCCTATTGTTATCAAAGTTGGGCCACTTTTCTTGATACGTATTTTGGGTCACCTAGCCTTATTTAAACGCTTGGGGTAGTTTGGAGGATTTAAGAAAGTTATGCGTATCCGCTGTTAAGTCTTGACTTCACCTCTTACATATCCTTCATTTATTCAATTAACTACTTACTTGTTATAATATTAAATCAAAAAAAATATATTTCTGCCGAGGGAAAATAGTTAACTACAAAATATTTTATGTTAATTATTAAAAGCCTTTTCTTGTGACAATAGGCCTTTTGCAGCTAGAGATCACGTGCTTAGGTACCGCACAGCAACGCCATACTGGAGAGCAAGCACTCCAGTGATCTCAGACAGTATAGAGGTCATAGAGGTCTGCATTCAAACAAAGAATACAGGGCATAACAGGTCAAAAGGTATCCCAATTTGAGAAATTCAGTAAGAAGTAATCAACAACTTCCTCGGAGTGTATCAGCAGCAAAGTCACACCAAAATTCGTTTCAGTAAGAAGTAATCAACAGCTTCCCCGGAGTGTATCAGCAGCAAAATCACACCAAAATTCGTTTTTCGCTGATACACTCCAAGGAAGCTGTTGATTAAAACTTACAAGATATCTCGAATTGGGATACCCTTTAACTTGTTATCCACTGTATTCTTTGTTTGAATGCAGACCTCTGTGATCTCTATTTTCTCTGAGATCACTGGAGTGCTTGCTCTCCAGTATGGCGTTGCTATGCGGTATCTAAGCACGTGATCTCTAACTGCAAAAGGCATATTGTTGTGTGATATTGCGCTTAGGGTTGGCAAAGGCTGACTCTTTTCAATCGTTTACTTAATAGTTGCGGCACGGGAGTAAATAAGGCTAAGATTACGATTTATTTTTGGATAATTCTTTTCATTCTAGCCACAAATGTGTCTTCTGTTGTCAGATAAGGATTCAGACTAAAGCGTTAAGCATCAATTTTTCCACTGACTGGATGGGAATCAAATTCATGCCTTCTGGGCTATGAATGTGGTAACCTATGTGATTCGCGTGAACCCCTTTTAACTTTTAACCAGGAGCCGTTAAAAGTTTTACTATCCAAATTAAGAGTTTTCTCAGAGACGTCCTGCCATTTATCAATAAAACAACAGCATGGTTTTTTATGTTTTATAAATTAATCGTAGCAGTAACTCTTTTTAATCGATAATGAGAAGCAGAGGAGGATTAGGACATTGATTAAGACCAGAGGCCCGTTTCCCGAAAGTCCCGGTAACTTAACGGGGCCGTAAAGATGTTCTGTTTTCACTCAAGATGGGGATTTCAAAAGTTTTAAAAATGACACAATAAGACTCAGCTAAAGAAAGAAAGTGGACTGGTTTGGGTGGCAGAACCTGCTTTCCTATCCTTGAAGTTTTGATTTTAAAACACAGTTTCGGGCCCTTTAAAGTTGCCGGGACTTTCGAGAAACCGGCCCTAGGAACGTGTTGTCATTTTCATCTGATCTCTATCACTGTTTTTGGCCGGAACTTTAAAGGATCAATTAGAAGTGTCTGTCAATAAATAATGCATCATCATTAAAGTGACATGATAATTCATACAAAAACATTTCAGTTTCGGACAAATCTCTATGAATCGTAGAGAGGACAGGAAAATTTCAAGCATTCACCAAGCTTACTTTCTTTCCTGTGCTGTTGTGGTCCACCATCTTACCGTGAATAATAGCGACCCAGTGGTTCGGATCGGCAGTGCAGCGTCCATCGCTCCATCACTTTGGCTCTGCCATTGAGTCCTAGATACCCCCAAATGCTAAAAAAAGACTTAATTTGAGCACATATTTACCTACCGATTGCAAGTTAAGTTGTGTCGGATTACTAGTCGAGATTCGCAAAAGTGATCTCAGCTGTGTCACAGAAACCTCAAACAAAACAAAAATAAAATTTTGTCACGGCGAAGGGCCATGGAGGAATGTCGTAGAGAGAAGTCTAGAGCTGATCTCACGAAGGAGGCCACGAAAAACGACTCAGTGAAAACAAGGGCGCATACTGTCCAAAATAATGAGAAGCTGGAAAAGATGAACTCAGAACTTGAAATCTGATTGGAAAACCAAAACAAGTCTCTTAACTGCAACCATCCGATAATTATGCCATATTTAGAGTTAGTTTAATACAACTTTCTCTCCTTTTTTAATTTACTGAAATAGGTAAAAATACACATTTATGGTAGGGAAAAGAAAAATAGAAACGAAGTAGATTCCTAATTAAGTCGGCGATTCTGAATAAATCAGGTGTAAAGTGAGATAGAAATTTGATTCAGATGGTGGATACAAAAAAGAGAGCCTTGCAGAGATTCGGCACACTAAGAATGCCAGCGACCTCTCCTTTCAACCAGTCTCTCTAACCAACTGAACCTGAAACGTCGTTACAATTGACAAACTAGTAGCGCAAACAATGATTCCATACTACCTTTTACTTTACCACGAAAAACAACAACGACCATCAATACCTTAATTTGCCCAGACTGAGAGTCTCAAGAGAGATAGTGTTAGAAAGGAAGGTTAGGGAAGCTTGTATCCAGAAAAAACCGCTCGCTTTGAAATTAGCTAAAGCTAACTGATCGTGACCCTTACAGTTATACTTTCTGTGTTAATGGGAATAGATTGTACACACACTAGAACGACACCAGGGAAAGTGTTTACTCGTAGATATGCGAAGCACATGAGCGAGTGATGTGGGTATTTGATATGAAAATCTTGTGGCTTCAGCACGGCCACAAGAGTCTGGGAAGAGCATACGTCTTATTTAAGATGGAGTACCGATTTTTTTGTCAATTAAGGACGACTTCACTGCTTTACTAGAACCTCAGGATCGTTGAGTTCACCATAGCGTCACTTTGATTTGTCTTATGTTCCGGAAAGCTTTACTAACGTCAGAGAGATTATTTCACTTACAAAAAAAAAAAAGCACTGAAGGGATTTGAACCTGCCAGTTTACTAGACACGAGAAGAGAAATTCCACATCTACAAACACCCATGTATCTACTTTTTGTCATTAATGAATGAAGTCGACATTTGTTGTCATTTAAGACCTATCGTATTTATAAAATAAACAAAATAATACATTGTTGCATGTAGATATGGGATTTCTCTGCTCCTGTTCAACTAAACATCTCTCGAATGAGCGCAGTGAACTTGTGAGATAGCGACTTAAATACTCGAATAGAAATTTCATATCTACGCACGCCCATACTTCATTCTCTATTAATGTTTTCCTATAAATAATTCTCAACTGTCATGCCCAGAAGTCATTCTCCTGTAACGAACGCTTTTAGAATATTTATTTTCAACTCAACATACTAACCTGAAAATCAAATAATCAATAAGAGCAGCTTGGAAAAGGAGGCCGTTGTAAGACTTCAAGGAAGTTGTTTTAGTGATAGGAAGGATCCATGTATAGGTACAAACAGAAGCCTTTTTCATTATTTGGACCATTTTTTTTAAATGAATGCCAGGTGAGTGGCAATTAACGGTGATATTTTTAAAACTTCATCTTTTTGTCAATGTTTCTAAACATAAATTTTCACAGCTGTTTCACCCGAGAGAACAGGACCTTTCAATAACACGACCTATCCCTTTTAAAATGAGTAGTTGTGCACTAAAAAAATATTTCAAACATATTTCTCTGAATATCAGTATTGTTTAGGACAATGAACAGCTTATTCCTTTTACAGCTTATCTTCAACGGATAGAAATCGGTCACTGCAGCCAGCTCCATGAGCAGCAAAGTGCTCGTCTGACTGTCTCCTTTACTGCTTGTCTCACTTCTCCAATCTTCCAACAATAAAGAATCGGGTTGAGCGACGAGCTGAAATTAACTAGGGTAACCGCATAGGTCCAGAATATAAAGTCCGATGGAGATTTTCTCTCGCCAGGGAGAACTGCCGCGGTTATGACGTAAGGTAGATAGCAGACGACCATTGCTAGCTGCACCCATAGCGTATTATATACTACCTTTCTGTAACGCGCCACGCTCCTAGGAATTGGTTCGTTCGGGCGCTGTAGAAGATGAGTCTGCCAATGATTTTGGTTATGATGAAGACGAAAGAAAATCATTGTGTACGAAAACGTTGCAGTCACAAGACATAGAGGCGTACCGATAAAGCTATACCAGATAGCAATACGATGATTTACAAAGTACGTTGTCCCAGCGGCTATCGACACCACCCAAAGTATGTTGAGAAGCACATATGCTTTCTTCAAAGTTACAACTTTTCTATATCTCAGCCCAAGCAACAAGGCCAGAAGTCTGTCTACACTTATTATGGTCGCAGTTGATATAGACACAGAACACAGAGTGTAGTCTGCTATAAACACTGAGGCTAATGCGATGCGACAGACTCTCCAGTTTTTGTGAACCAGTGAGAAAATAAAGGCGACTTGAAAAGGCTCGGCAATAAGTCCAACGCAGAGATCAGCAGTTGCCAGACAACGATACAAGACTTTTGATGGAGGGTGAAGGGAAGACTCCTTCCGAAGGGCTTGGAGAATAAGAGTATTTCCAATCAAAGCAGTGAGGGACAGGAAAATGTTGATTGCTCCGAGAAATATCAACTGTTTCTCTATCTCATCTGTCCATCCTGCCACGCATCTCAGTTCAAGGAGAGTTTCAGTTTGTTTTCCTTCATTTGCAGACAGGTTTGTTGGCATCATGATTTCCACTTAAATGTGTAGAGCTATTTCACCTTTAGGTACGTTTGAAGTTATCTCTTAGATTGCCTCATATTTTGTGGTCTCAATTTATACGCCAATTGCGACTCTTCCTCCGATAGTAGTCAACAGCTGCGGAACGTCTGATTGTCGAATATATACGTAATCCAACTTATCTGACAGATATTTAACAAGAACACCCATCTCGTTATACATGCTACATTTGTTTTTTAACCGACCTGTTTGCACAAATTTTTTTCGCATCCAGAAAATTACTTTGTTCCGTTTCCCTTTATCTTAACTAAAATGTATGAAAATCAGGGGTACTATGATTTGCGAAAAATAACTTGAATAACAGAAGTCTCTCTGAAAATAGATCGGGAAAAATATTTAAATATAGACAAGGTTTTGTTTACCTTAAGGCTTTTTATTAGTTATCATGACATTAAATACACCAGGTGATGAAGCTAAAGGGACTTTTTGAACTTTTCATCCCAACTATAGCTAAGGCCAAAGTATGAATATCACTCGCAAAACATTTATTATCTTCAGTTAAAAATACATAAAAAAATTGATTCAAAACACCGAGATATCTCTATAAATGAACTAAAAATAGTACAAGTTATGAATATCAATCGCAAAACCTTTATTATCCACACTTAAAGATATATGTAAAAATTAGGTAAAAAAACAAAGATATCTCTTTAAAACAATTAAAAATAATGCAAAATATGAATATTAATCGCAAAATACCTATCATCTACAGTTAAAAATGTGTACAAAAATTAACTCAAACACATGCATATCACAGTGCTACGAAATGTTTTCTCATGGCCGAACTAAAGGAACTGATGGTATCTTTTGAACGTATTTCTAGAGGAAATTCATTCCACAGCTTTGTCACATGAACTTGAAAGGTCCTGCCTCCTTCCGTTTCTCTATTGTCCTAAGCAAACATTGAATCATAACTGTCATAACGACTAACCCTACTATATGCGAATCTGAATTTCTAGGTAGTAGCTCTGTGATGTAATTCGGTCAGTCGACCTCTGTGATACGCTTGAATATTCATTTACACTTTGAAAGAATTATTTCAAATTTCAGCGGCAACCATTTAATCGCATCATTGAATTAAAATAGGAAAACAAGAAAAAAGCAATAATATTGTTTGTTTTCATCCCGGGCGCGCGCCCCAGAAAGCCATTTCGAAGTCCACTGTCAGAGCTGTCATTGCGTTAGCGAATAGGAAGCAAGGTCAGTCGTGCACATTAGAACCTTCAACATCTTTTATTTGAACCTTCTTTTTACCTTCGGTTGCAAACTTTTTAAACAATCTTCACACTATTTAAGGATAATGGTGGTATTTCACTGAATTTACATACCGTTTATTTTTTAACATCTTTTTTTCAAATTTCCACTGAATTTGCTCGAGAAGGAAAATAACTTACACCTTTTATCCCTTTGGTGGCAAAACGGTAAGAAATGAAGTGTGCAAGCGAAAGCACTGAAAGTTTAACATCGCGATTAATATAAGGTGAATACCTTGAGGTGTAGATACGTGTATTGATCGATATTTTATTCTTTTAAAAACAAAGAAGTGTTTCATGAAAAGTCCAGAAACTTTGATCTTTTTATTTTTAGAAATTCACTACAGGCAACTACCATTAGCTGAATCGTTGGGATGAGCATTCGACTGAAAGTTGATGGAAATATTCATTGGAGAGTTGTTGAACGATACATTGGTGAACAGTCCACCTAGAACTCTTGCTGTTAGGCCATCACTGCCGTTATTCATTGCTGTTGTGTTATTACCAACTACTGATGGAAGTGCAAGGCTGTTGACATCAATTTGTCGCAAAGCTTCAGTGCGTGGACCGCCGCTGGCGTTAGCAGCTGTGACAGTCGCAATGGTAGACTGAAAACTCAGCCAACTTGCTTGACATCCTTCGTTGTTTCCCTAAAAGATTATGGCTGTAGGTGGATATTGAACCCGGGTTGGCGTGACCTGTTAGCTCGGAGATTGTTTTTTCTGGGCCGTGTTCACAGGATTTTCTCGATTTCGCGTTGTCGCGAGCGAAAGAGGTTTTCATGCCTCTCCAAGAATTTATAGTTCAGTTCAAAACAAGGAAGAACCTCAGGCTCACTTTGAAAAGCGCTTTTTTTGTTTTTGGCTCTTTAAAAGGTGATAATGGTTTTGAAAACATTTTAAATTGACTTAGAAACCAAACTTTGTAACAATTTGACGATAGTTGTTATGCTTACGTAGATGCGAAACAATATCACTTAGCGTCGTTTTCAACTCGCAATTCCACGCTAAATACCTCGCTTCGTTAACCAATCAGAATGCGAGATTGTATTCAATGATGCGATTCTATCAAAAATTACTCTTCTTGCCTCTCTCGTGTCTGCATTCAGGATAACATGAGCTGCTCGCCTTTGCAATGTGAACTTTTTTG